CCAAGATTGAACATAACCCAGAGTTCATTGACTGTTTCGAAAAATGTAAAAAACTATTGACAAATGAACCGATACTACAATACCCGGACTTTTCTAAAACCTTTAATTTGACCTGTGACGCTAGCAACGTAGCGCTAGGCGCAGTATTGTCGCAAGGGCCCATAGGTCAGGACCTGCCAATAGCATACGGATCTCGTACATTGAACGACTCAGAACAAAACTACTCTACCATTGAGAAGGAATGTTTGTGTCTAGTGTGGGCGACAAAATATTTTAGGCCATACCTGTATGGACGAAAGTTTAACATCATAACAGACCATAAACCCTTACAGTGGCTGTTTAACTATAAAGATCCCACTTCAAAATTAGTACGATGGCGAATAAAATTACAAGAATTCGACTACCAAATAACATATAAGAAAGGAAACCTTAACACAAATGCTGACGCGCTAAGTCGCATTGAGTTACACACAAAAGACGCCGCCAACATCTCGAGTTTAGTCTCATACATCGAGGAATTTAACAAGCAACTTGAACAAGAAGGCACCTCATCGTCGAACACGAACAACGAAAATATAAATGCAAACGAAGATAACTTAGACCTAATTTCAACGATGGCACAACCCGACCTTGACCCACCAGCAAATGAAGACGACAATAAAACCATACATACAAATAACGAACAAGATCCTATAGTAGGAGTACCTATTATAGAATCAGCAGTTAATTACGGAGCTAATCAAGTGATTATTACGAGCGTTTTACATTCACCTGCAAAAACAAAACGCTTGATATTATTCGAGAAGAAAAGAAGATTTCTAGTCCAATTATCGGAAAATAATTTTGAAAATGACGTCATGCAATTTGTGAAAGAAAATGTAGTACCCGAAAAGTTATATTCCATTTATTTCGAAAATCCAGATACTTACGAACCTTTCTGCGAAATAATAAGGAAAAACTTTAAATGGCCTTCAATTAAATTTAAAAGATGCTTGATAAAATTAATTGATGTCGTCAACAAAACAGAAATAGCAGAGGTAATTCAAAATTACCATGAGAGCAAGACAAATCACCGAGGAATCGAAGAAACCGAGCGACGAATTAAGGAAAAATATTATTGGCCCAACCTGAAAGAATCCATTCAATCATTTATCAATGAATGTGAAATTTGCCAACGTAGCAAATATGAACGTCACCCAATAAATATGGAAATGAACATCACGCCTTCTGCAACAAAACCATTTGACATCATCCACCTGGATACATATACTCTCGATAAGGTTAAATTTCTTACTATAATAGACAGTTTTTCTAAATATGCCCAAGCTTATGCCCTTACATCTTTATCCGCTACCGAAATATGTGATAATCTCATATCCTTCTTTTCACATCATGGCATTCCATCAAAGATATCACAGACAATGGAACTGAGTTCAAGAATACTGTTCTTACTGAACTACTCCAACTTCACAAAGTAAAAATACATTTTTGTTCTCCTGAACATCCCCAATCTAATGGCGTAATAGAGAGGCTCCACTCAACCTTATCTGAACACATAAGAATTTTCAACAATCAAGGATTCCTAAAAACGCCAATTACCCAAAAAATTAAATATGCAATCTTAGCATACAATTATACGATCCACTCTGTAACCAAACACAAGCCCATTGACATAATCACAGGACACATAAGTCCCAATGACCCATTCGATCTTAAGTTAGATCAACTCCTAATTACAGATTACGTCAACGAGCACAAAAATAAAACAAAACTCTTGTATTCCAACATAAATGAGCGTCTTATGGATACAAAAAATAAAATAATTGGCAAAATCAATGAAAATCGTGATAAGCCAACATTATTTAGACCAGAACAGAAAATATATGTAAAGAAACATACACGCCAAAAACTAGGAGACAAATTTCGACCAGCCACACAAATAGAGACCGTTGACCCCACACGGAAAACAATAACAACGGACACTCTAGGCAAAGTGCATATGGACAATATTAAACGTCTTCTAAGAAACAAATATAGTTTCGATACTTAAGTTAATTTTAATAAATAGGTGATAAGTATAATAATATTGGTACTAATAAATATGAATATGATAACCTCACGCTTACGCTTACTAATCTTTATTTCAGCTTTATAACCCACGCATTAGGAAACCAAGAGCAAATCTCCATAAGAAAATTGGACGATAATCCTGGAATTATCCCAGTGAAACTTGGAAATGCAAAAATTAGAGACTACACCTACACATTGATACACTACTATGACCTAAATCCCATACTTATCGAAATTAACAAACTACACTCTAAATCCAATAATATCACTAACATGCTTAATGGACACAAAGAGTATTCTGAAGATATTAGTAATTATATCAAATTAATTCAACTAATACAAATTAGAGTAGATAACAAAATTAAAGAAATAATTCCCCAGCCACAAAGAACAAAAAGAGGCTTGATTAACGGCCTAGGGTCAATTTTCAAATCCGTAACCGGAAACCTCGACGCTGACGATGGCGAACGTTATGAAAATCTTATAAGGGAATTGCAAGGAAATCAAAAGAATTTGCAAGCAAATATTTTGAAACAAAATTCACTTTCTTTAACTGTTATTGAAAAATTCAATACGACGATAAAACAAATAAATTATAATGAGAAACTCTTAGAATCAAAAATCAATCAAATCGCACACATAGTAGAGAAATCGGCTTATAGAGAAAATTCTCTTTATATTAAGGACATAATTAATCAAATTATTAATGTCTATGAAATAATAGATTCAATATTACAAGATGTCGAAAACTCTTTAACTTTTTCCAAGTTAAAAATTATGCATCCTAGCATAATGAGAACTAAAGATCTCTGAACAGAACTTATCAAATTACAAAAACAACTAAGTAATGAACAAATGCCTTTAGCAGTTAATGTTGAGAACATTCTTTTGTATGAAAAAATCATCAAATTAGAATCATTTATTCTTAACAATAAAATAACTTATTTGGTCCATATACCTATAAGGCATCCTGAATCTTTCGATTATTTCCACCTATATTCAATACCAATCAAAAGTCGGAGTCAGTTTAAGGTAGTCCTTCCACAAAATAAATATCTTCTAAAAAACGGATTGCACTACGCACATTATGGCCAAGAATGCCAGGAAATCCTTCCTGAATTCCACATATGCGAAAAAGAAGAATTCCACGAACTTCAAGACAGCAGTCCATGTGAAGTAAAGCTACTGAACTCTGAAAAAGACACTTCTACTTGCAAGCCAACTGAAGTCAAAATCACACAACCAATAATCAATCGATTGGACAAATCCAATCAATGGGTATTTGTACTTCTGGCTAAAGTACCTATAAAACTCAAGTGCTTTGGACAAGAAGAAATCAGAAAAGTTATTGGAACCTTTCTAGTTCGTATACCAACCAGTTGCCAAATAACTATCTCTTCGAGACTGATTATCAACGAAAAGAAGCCTCTGAAATCAGATGCACAACCTATACTATTTCCTGACCTTCCAAATGTACCTGAATTAATGCATTCCCTGAATTTAGGTACACACTTGAAAACCATAAAACTGGACAATCTCCACCAACTAGCTAATGAGATGGTAGAAAACCGTTTGACGTTTAGTGAAATCAGAAGACTACCAAGTTTGGGAACCATTCTGATATATGCTATGATCCTTGCTGGGTGTGCTGTTCTTGGCTATAAGAAACTAGCACCGAAGTTGAAGAAACGAAGAGGGGACAACCACCCCGAAGAAGAAGCCCGACCAATCCAACTTCCTCGCTTAGCATGAAGTTGTATCTCAAGAAGGGAGGAGTAATGTCAGCTCTATTTGCTGACCATTCATATAAACTGCTTAATTCGCTTTTCTTTATTATAAATATCGCTGCCCGCCTAAAATAGTTAGTCAGTTGAATTGTAATTATATTTTTTATTTGAAACTTTGTAACGCGCAACGCGAAGTATTTCTCTATTGTAATTTAGTGAATAAATTGTTTTTTAAAAACTTGTTATCGGCCTACGTATTGATAACTCATGTAAATATTGCACTTGCTTGTATATTCAACATGAATAAACTTGAACGATTTGATTTGATGGTTTCTCAAACCACTCGGGTATAGTTCACACAGACGCGCATGTTCATTATATGTATATTGTGTCATCATCATCTTCTTGCTGTGTATTATATTGTTGTTGAATGAAATAAACAAATAAAATTAAATAAATAAATAGTCTTTGCCACACCCTTTATTCTAGAAAATACTCACAATGCAAAAGTTAACTTTGGACCAATTACCGATATGACTGGCAAGCACTTGTAAGCACTCATTATCATATTGAAACTAAATTTTTTATGTTATGATGTGATGTTCATATGACATATTGTGTAGCACATTCTAAGGTTATTGCTCTATGGTTATTGTTAGCTAATAAACACATACCACACGATAAATCTAGCGGCCCCAACCTCTGCAATTTAATTTTGTCAATGAAATTCAATGTCAAAATGTCATGTCAAAAATCTTGACCAATAAAGAAACAATAATGCGACATACGTTTTCGTAATCAAAGCACTCTTTGATTGTTTTTTTTTTTTGAAGACCTGTTACAAATACAAATAGGTCTTATGTGAAATTTAATTCGATCACAAAAAAATCAAGGAGCAGCTCCAGAATCTAATAACTTGAATGCAGAAGGTTCTAACGAATTTTTTGTTAACATCGCTGAAGAGGTCATAAAAGGTTTGCCAACTAGTCAGTAATTCTATAATGATTATTTGCCAACAAGTTTTGAGGGCGATGTCTTTAAATTTAGAGGTCAACCCAGTATGATGGCAGACAAAATCTCAAATCTTAAAAATAGCAATAGCATAGCCAAGATCACTATGAAAATTCAAACGTTTTTTGGTGTTGCGATGACTGCATAAACAGTTTTGAGGTAAAAATAGATGTTGTTAAACAAGTAAAATTGATGGAAGATGGATTAGTAAAAAAATTGGAAGATAACACTAAACGAATATTTGAAAATATGAACGTTAAAAGTTCTTATTCTGAAATTACCAAGGGTAAAATCAGAAGCATTGAACCTCCAATAATAATTATACCTAAAAAGCAGCAAGATAGTGAAACAACAAAAAAGCAAGTCGAACAAAAAATAAAACCCGCCGAAATATCTGTTGCTGTTACAAAAATAAAATCAGCTGGCCATGGTAAAGTGTTAATCCACTGTGAAGATAAGGAATCTCGCAAAAAAACTACAAAACATTGCCGTCAATGAACTCGCTGGAAATTTCCAAATTGAATCACGTAGAGAATTGAAACCGAAAATTTTAGTTGTTAATGTTCAAAATAAGGAATGTGAAGATGAAAATACTTTTATTGATAATATTATAAAACAAAATTTTCCCGAAGATATGCAAGTAGTTAATGAGGATTTGAAATTTATTAAAAAATATGTTCCAAAAAATAAGAAAAATAATAATAATATTATTATTGAAGTGTCTGCAGAAGTCTTTAATCACTTGATAGGTAAGGGTCGTATTTTTTCTGGCTGGGAAAGTTACCGCTTATATGAACATGTGAGTGTGCTTCGGTGTTTTAAATGTTGGAGATATCACCACAAGGCGTCCAACTGTTCTTCACAGGTCGAAGTATGCCCAGAATGCGGAGGAGACCATAAAAGTGCAGACTGCAATTCTTCTGTGAAACAATGTGTAAATTGTAAATATGCCCGTGACGTGTTAAAAATTCCAGGCATATGTATTGATCATCCAGTACATGATAGAGAATGTATATCGTACAAAAGAGCCCTGGAACAAAGTAAGTCAAAAGTCAAATATATATAGCAAATACCGATTAATGCTAGTACTAGTACACAAGATGAATTAATTATAGGTGGTAATATACAAGGCTTAACGTCACACATAGAGGAGCTCCGATCATTTGTTTCTGAAAGAAATCCATTGGTAATTACTATGACAGAAACTCATGTTACATCTGAAATAGATGACAGTGAAGTATGTATTGAAGGATATAATCCTGTTTTAGTGGAATCAGACAGTCGACACACTGGAGGCTGCATAGTGTATATTAAAGATAATATAAATTATTTCATAGTTCAAAAAACAGCCGTAAGATTGAATTATTGGTCTTTATTGCTGAAAATAAATAATAATGGCAAAACTATAGTCTTAGGATCTGTTTACCGTTCACCAAGTGGCAGCACGGATGACTTTTGGAGATTCCTTGATGACCTTCTCAAATATGATATGATAAATAATAATGAAGCCTATATAATGGGAGATTTCAATATCGACTATTTGAGTGATGCGGGGGTGTCCAAAAAGTTTAAAAACATGATCAAAGATGCAGGTTTCACTCAAATCATCAAATTTCCTACGAGAGTGACAAGAAATACATCCACACTTCTTGACTGGGTTATAACCAATAATTTTGGTGTGTCTGAAATATCTAGGAATTTTCCGCAATTATCAGATCATGATATGGTGGGTTTTCAAATAAGTGGCGTTAAAAAAAATATCTCTGTAGAATATAAGTACAAGCGTAAAATAAATTCAAATAGCATAGATGCTTTAAGATTGGATTTAATAGGTAAATATTGGGGACATTCATCAAATGACATTAACATTGTCTACAAAAATTTCATCACAAACATAGCAAACAGTATTGATAGAATATGTCCTGTAGAGAAAATAGCTTGTAGACCCTTAGTTCCATGGAGCAATAAAAAAATCAAGGATGCTCAGAAAGTACGTGATATTGCCTACAAAAAATTTAAAATTACAAAAGATGGAGGGGACTGGGAGAACTATAAGAGAAGAAGAAACCAACTAACAACTATTATTAGAAATGAAAAGAAACTATATTATGAAAGTAAAATTGACCATTCTAAATATGACAGCAAAAAAATGTGGAAAACGATGAAAGAGTTATTAGGCCAGAGTGATAAAACCCTACAAGTTGAAAAGATATCTTTTGATGGATACAACGGCAGTCCAGTGGAGAATTTTAATAACTATTACAGTGATAGTATAAAAAACATTGCAGAAGGAATAGAAGAGAAAGTACTTCCAGCGTTATCGGACCAAATTCGTGTTAGTGAGGACTATTTAGTTTGCTTCAATAAAATTAGCTTCAATGGTTTAAGCAAAATTGTGCTCTCCTTGAAGAATAAAGGGTCAGGGGACGAATATCTCACTGTGTCACTGTTAAAAGATCTGTTTTGTGTGATAGGGTATCCTCTTTTAAATGTAATAAATTTAGTTTTAGAAAAAGGACAGATACCTGTAGAATTAAAAACAAGTGTTATTGTACCTATAGCCAAAGTGCCCGCGCCCACACGTCCGGAAGAGTGTCGACCTATAAACCTTCTGCCAGTAGTTGACAAAATAATTGAAATTGTCATGAGGGATCAACTCAAAACTTTTTTTGAATGAAACAAACTTTTATATGCAGGTCAATCGGGGTTTAGAGATGGACACTCTTGTGAGACGGCTATTCAGTTTGTTTGTTCACAATGGCGGAAAGAAATTAATGACGGCAATGTGGTTCTTAGCGTTTTTATTGATCTAAAGCGTGCATTTGAGACGATAAATCGTAGTTTGTTAATCAAAAAATTGAAATCATATGGAGTACGTGAAGCAGCTTTGAATCTGATCAGTAATTATTAAAGCAATCGTTACCATTTAACAAAATTGGGCAATATAAAATCTAATAAAATAGCCAGTGATTATGGTGTACCTCAGGGAAGCGTTTTGGGCCCATTGCTGTTCATAATTTACATTAATGACTTATACAGTGTATGTAAAAACTCTCTGGTCAATCTTTTTGCTGATGATACAGTAATATCTGTAGCTGGAAGTGATTTTAATGTGATATCTGACACCATGAATGTTGAGCTGGGCATTCTGTATGACTGGTTGTGTGCAAACAAGTTAAAACTCAATGCTAGTAAAACTAAATATATGTTATTTGGTTCTAGAACTAACTGTGCAAGATGCTTATCTAGTAATCTTGAAATTAGTATTAACAGGGAGCCTATAGAGTATGTGAAAGAGATTAAATATGTGGGCGTTATTTTGGACGCTCAATTGACCTTTGCCAGTCACGCAGAATACTTATGCAAAAAATTGGGGAAAAAAGTTGGTTTTTTCAGATGTATTTCTTGGAATTTGTCACAGTGGTCGAAAATGTTGATTTACAACACAATTGTGTACCCCCACTTCACCTACTGTATATCACTTCTGCTTGCATGTCCCAAGGAGCAAATATGTAGATTACAAATACTGCAAAATAAATGTATGAGAATAGTTTTGGGTTGCAACAGATATACTGCCATAAGTAGAATGATGGAACAATTGAAGTGGCTATCAGATGAGCAGGGTATTAGAAGGGCGAACATGTTATTTGTTTATAAGATTGTAAATAAAAAAGTTCCAGAATATTTGTGGAAAATGGTTGTCACCAGATTCGAAATTCACTCGCGAATGTTACGTTCAAAAACTGATTTAAATGTTCAGTTTGTTAATAGAAACTTTTTGCAGGGCTCGCTATTTTCTGAAGGCATTCGCCTTTATAATGCCTTGCCCGACGAAATTAAGAATGTAAATACAATTGGTTTATTCAATAAACGTTTATGTGATTATTTGAGAGGCGAATAATTAACTTTAAATTAAATTAACTTATTATAAATTGTTATATTATATATTGTTATGTTTGTTTACTAGCTTTTGCTAAATAAAGATTTACTTTACTTTACTTTACTTTACTAACTAAATACAAAAATAATCAAACATCTAAAAGACATCCTAACGGGGCCACTGACAGACTTATTCAATCCTTGCATTCAAACTATTTATTTTCCTAGGACTTTGAAAATTGCAAAAGCAGTACCTATCTATAAGAGCAAATGTAGCTCCGCCGATTACAATAATTATTATTATCCTATCTCTCTTTTACCAATAATTTTTAAAATTCTACATCATTTCAACCTCAAAATGTAAAGTCATTTTCGGAAAAAGTCAAATTAATTTCAGAAAAAGTAAATTCAAATTCGGTAAAAGTAAATTCAAATTCGGAAAAAGTAAATTCAAATCCAGAAAAAAAAAATCACTTTAGAGAAAGTAATGTTATTTTTTATAGAATAATTTGAATTGATTTAGTCATTTATGTATGTATGTACAAAATCAAAATTTGTCCATATTTCTCAAAGAGACCCGATTTTTAAACAACAAAAGACAGAAAAAAAAATTACCAGATTGTTTACTATTTTATTCCCTTAATAGTGACATGTGTTTCGTTCATACAAGCATCATCAGACCTATAAAATAATATACACCATTTCAACCTCAATTTCGGAAAAAATAACTTTTATTTAGGAAAATGTAAAGTCATTTTCGGAAAAAGTCAAATTAATTTCAGAAAAAGTAAACTTAATTTCGGAAAAAGTAAATCCAAATTAGGAAATAGTAAATTTAAATTCGGAAAAAGTAAATTCAAATTCGGAATAAGCAAATTCAAATTCGGAAATTACGGAGAAAGTAATGTTATTTTTTAGAATAATTTGAATTGATAAAAATAAATCTAGCAGTGACTATACCTCGAGTCGAACCAGTACCCTTACGGGTTCGATTCCAACCAATACCTGTGTACCTATATTTTAACTACATAAGATTCTATGTTCATTTTGTAGGTCTAATGATGCTCGTATGAGCTAAACACATGTGAGTATCAAGTGGATAAAATAATAAACAATCTGTAGACTTAGTTTTTTTTTGCTTAAAAATTGAGTCTCTGAGAAATATGGACAATTTTTTTGATTTTCTGCATAAATGACTTAGGGCCGAATTTATAGTCGTTCCTTTAATCTTCCTTAGAGTCGTTAGTTTAGAATGGACACTTGCTATTATTTGATAAGTTAGTCATGTCATTTCTAAACGTTCAAGGCTTCCTTAATGTCTAGGAAACCTCAAGGAGCTACTTTAAATTCGGCTCTCAATGAATTCAAATTATTCTATAAAAAATCTAAATTCTATAAAAAATAACATTACTTTCTCCGTAGTTGAATGTATTTTTTCCGAATTTGAATTTACTTTTTCCGAATTGAAATTTACTTTTTCCGAATTTGAATTTACTTTTTCCGAATTTGAATTTACTTTTTTCGAAATTAACTTTACTTTTTCCGAAATTG